GCCTGAGATTGGCCCAGTCCGGGTGGGAGCCTCCGCCCCTGTGGCAGCAGCACCAGTGGCCAACGAGCCAGGAAGGATGGGCACGATGGTGGAGGAGTTAGAAGGAGGGCGGAGTGCGATAGTTACCACCAAGGAAGCTGCGGAACTTATCCCGCTCGATCAATACATCTCACTGGGCTACCCGTGATTGGGAATGATCGGAACCATCCGCCCAGCGAACGAGCAACGGGAAATAACAGAATGGAGACCGTCCTCTGAAGAAAGGGAATCGGGCAGCCCTGCCTTTGTTACGGGAGAAGTTGATGTCTTGAATATCGTCTGAGCCTTGGACCATCGAATCCCCTTGCCCATTGGACACCTGCTGTCCATATCAGAACAGGCGAATGAGCGAATGCTGCAGCATTGCAAGGCAAACTGGAAACGGTTTGCCCTCGCTAAGCAAGCAGCCATCAAAGGGAAAACCCCCGCCTGTGAAGACAAGCCCGATGTCGCGAGCACCGCATACCCGAATCGGTTAGGACTAATCCGAAAAGACGATCATTTTCTGCGCATTAAGACAATTTCGTGGAAATTCGCGGAATGCGACATAGAAGTCTACGGAATTCCGTACAATGCTATTATCGACTCGGGGGCTGCAGTCCTGGCCATTTCTCCGAGGGTCGTAGAACGGGCAGAAAGAAGAAAAGATCTGATCCCGTTAGCGGAAGGAGATCACATTGTCTCCGCTGACGAGGAAAAGATCAAGGTGGTGGGAAGGATGACAAATGTTGCGTTTCGATTAGGAAAGGTTCATGCGTTGGGAGATGTCGTGGTATTATATGTAAACACATATGATGTCCTTTTGGGATTACCGGCCCTTACCGCACTAAGAGTCAATCTCGATTTCGAGAGGTGGTCGATCATCTTTCAGAATACGAACGGGAAACCATACGTCATCCTGATGCGCCTAACTCTCCGGACTACACTCCCTGCGACTCGGAAAACTCTCCCCGGGAACGGAGAACCACTGCATGTAATCACCTGGAGGGAACCCCTCAAAGAAACGGACCAAAGGGGAAAGGGACTGGAGTTGTGAAATAGCTCCTTTGACAGTGAGGACGAAGCAGACTCAGTAATCCGGGACATGGCGCACCAACTGACACGCTACCCCGTTCGGCAGAAAACAACGAAAACATTCGTCCTTACGGAAAGAAACCTCCAACGTACGCGAGTTCTAATCTTAGGGGACCCACTCATGCAAGTATCCCGAATGGCCGTTTTTTTTGAACCCCCTCGGACTCTGTACTAGGCCACCACCCCGCTTCTCTTAAGATACAGTGACAAGAAGGCATTCTGCGATATTACGAAACTACCCCGTGCCTTGCTCTCTGCAGGGAAGGAGGTCCGATTGCTGCGACAGGGCGCTGAGAGCGATGTTTTGGAACCCCCTGGGCATGACAACCCTTACGAACTCAGGATCAAGATCGCCGAGAAACCCGTAATCTTGCAGGACAATGACGATGGAGTGACACCGGAAGAACACGTGGCAATCCGGGAAGAAGACGGTAAAATGGTTGCCACGATGTTCTCCTGGTGATCGGACAACTCATTTATCTCAACTCCCCCACCAGGAAATGGTCGTAAAGTGGGCCCAAAACAAATGGCGGTTAGCATACACGGACAACTTTACGAACTACACGTGCCTCAGTTCGTGCCCAATGAGGGTCATTGCCTCATTGCCGACATTCTATTCGAGTATCAGGGAGCGATTAGTGTGAAAGACACAGATATAGGCCTTCCGTAGTAATTCAGCATGAAATTCAAACCAGAATACATCCGCCTATTCATTGCAAATCATACCGGTACTCACTCGCAGAGCGAAAAATGACTTTGAAACGGATCAGAGAATTCAAAGCTAACGGTTGGATAGAGCCAGCTACAGGACCATGGTCATTCCTCGTAGTTCTAGTTCCGAAGAAAAATGGGTCGATTCGCAAATGCGTCGATTATAGGAAATTGAATGACATCACGATCAAAGATGTGTACCCCTTTCCCCGGATTGATGACATGTTGGATGCGATTGGATGTGCTAATTATTTTAGTAAGTTTGATATTCGTCATGGGTTTCATCATATCCTCGTTAAGGAGGAGGATCGGCCGAAAACGAAGTTTGTATTGTTCGAAGGCACTTGGCAGTGAATTCGCTGCCCTATGGGAATATGCAATGCGCTGGCCACGTTCTAGAGAGCAATGAATGTCAATTTTCAGAATTTCGCTAACAAGACCAGGCTGACCCAGGGAATGATCAATTTTTGCGTCGTTGTGTACATGGACAATATCCTGGTGTATTCTGAATCATTTCATGGGCACGTGCAACACATCGAATGAACACTTGGGGCGTTACGGGATGCCGGGTTCAAAATTGCACTGGAGAAGAGCGAGTTCTTCCTCTCCGATATCTCATTCTTGGGGTACGTAGTGACACGATGGGGTTTAAGACCAAATTCCAGAAAGGTCGATGTTGTTCGAAACGCCCCCACACCTACGTCACTGACGCAGGTTCGAGCATTTCTGGGGCTGGCCTTGTACTACCGGCGATTTATCAAGGGGTTTGCGGCAATCGCTCGACGTCTGACAAACCTCCTACGAAAGGACCAGCCGCTGGAGTGGGATGCAAAATGCGAACAGACCTTTGTCACTTTGAAGGAGGCCCTGGCCTCCGCGCCGATTTTGATTCAGCCCAATCCTCAGAAGCAATTCATACTAATCACGGATTGGCAGCCCAAGGTGATCTCCGCTATTTTGGCTCAGAAGGGGAAGGACGGTCGCGAACACGTCATGGAGTACGCCTTGTGAACTGTACCTGACGAGCGAAACAACGATTTGGCCCCTCAGGGAGAGTGCAACGCAGTCCTTTGGGGAATTCAGTACTTTCATCCGTATTTGTACGAATTTACGAAAGGAAGTCTCTCCTTGTCACAGATCATGAGCCCTTGCTGACTCTCAAGAGGCCCACTAACTATACGGGCATGATTGGACGATGGGCGGTCTGACTGCGGGAACATGACTTCGATATCGTCCATCGGAAGACGGAGAAACACGGCAACGCCAACGGATTGACACGACTTTATCGGTCAAGTAAGGTGGCAAAGAGAGAAGAGATCACCCCGTGGAAGGAGTCAGAACCGACCAAAGGGCCATTGTATAGAGAGGTGGTCATTCTACCCCGAACCTCCAGGAAGTGACACGAGGACACGATGGCAATGGGTGGAGAAGGTAATTCTAGAAGCCCCCTCTCTCCCCTCTCGTCCTCTTCTTTCCTCACCTTGTCCGATAAATTTAACTATTTTTGTGAGGCAATATTGCGAGTTAATTCGGTTCCTACGCGTCCTAGCGGGGAAGGGTATGTCGAGTGGGTAGACTGTGGGCGATGTGTCTCGAGGGCCCACGACTCTTCAAGTTGTGTCCAATACCGGAATGCGAGCAAAGCTTGGTTATGTCCCTTATGTCGAACTAACAAGATCCTGACGGAGGCTCGATTTCTCGAAGCCACGTCTGAAGGACTAGAAAAGACATGCCGGTTTCGGTGTGCCGAGGTATGTCCAAATGTTGTCCTGATAGCTGCAGTGGTTGGGAACTCCCTCCGAGAATTCACCGAGGAAGATTGGAGGCGGACCAACGAGAGAGCACAGGATTACCGATGGAACGACGAACGGTTAGAAAAATGAAAGACTGACAGTAGTGGATTTGGATGTCGGTGCCTCATCTGTTCATGTGGTACAACTGGGTTAAGTCAGCTCACGAAGAAACCGCCGCCCACTTTGCTGTCAGAATCACTGAGGCAGCAATTGACAAAAACGAATGGTATTGGTCCAATATCTGGGACGATGCTAAATTCATCGTAAAACATTGTCCAGTCCGCGCGGCAGACAAGACGCCGGTTCAGCCGCCTAGGTCGATAGTGCCCACTGTAGTCGAACGGTCGTTCCAAAGGGTTAACATGGATACGACGGATATTGTTGTGCCCCCTGGACCGAATAGCTGCGAATATTCAGTTCTTTTGGTATTCGTAGATCATTTCTCGAAATGGATCGAGGCCTACCCATACAAACCGCGACAGACGGTGGAAATCGTGTGGTATGTTAACCGTTTCCGCGGAATGCATCAGGATACTGAGGAAATCCTAACGGACAACGGGGCAGAATTTCGTGGAGAAGTCTTGAGGAGTCTAGTCGTACATGGCGTCTCCATTTGCAATACAGCTCCCCATATGTCGCAATAGAACGAACTGGTAGAGAATGCAAACCGGGTGATTAAAACAACTTTGCGGCGAAACATCAAGGCTAGGGACACGAGGCCTTGGCCCGATATCGTAGACCATATCCTAGCTATTCACCGAGGGACACCCCATGAGTCCACTGGCCTAACCCCTTTTCAGTCACGGACCAATAGTTTGGCTTGAGTACCTCTGCCAAGCCTGAACGATGAGACGACCCTCGCGCGACGAGCTACGAGGGCGACGATCAAGGACAAGGCTCAATGCCACTTAGAGTTGATGGAAAAAACCCTCCCCCGGAGCCCGAAAAAGACAGCGGATGACCGAAATAGCCCACAACCGACAGGCCCGGAGCTATGAGGCCCGGAATGGGAACATTGGGCCCCGACCCCAGTATAAATTAGGGGACATAGTGCAGGTAAGGAAATGTGCTCGCCAGGGCAAGTTAGCGCCATGATTCTTCGGGCGATTCCGCGTAGTCAAGCTCGGTCCTAGCGGAGTGAACACGGTGAGGCTTGCGCCAGAGGTCTCAGGAAGTCGATCGGCTCGACCAATCATTCGACATGTGTCCTATCTTCGTCCCTTACTTCCTTTTCCTTCTCTCTCATCATCTACATCGTCCCTCGATTCCGAGGAGGAACACATTGATTCTTCGTCTTCTAAACCTTCGTCTCCACCTTCTCCCCCATCGCCATGAGCTTTTCTACAGAGCTGGTCATTAGCGAGTGCCTAATGAGACCTCGGGGGGCATGTTTCGTCAATCCGGCAGATGCAGCGACCACGATTGAGTCTCGATCTGCTTCGATTCACGACATTCTTCAGCACGGCGGCGATCCATGTGGCAGCAGAGTTTCGGTTCGCACGGACCTGCGATCGAGCGCGGGTGTTGGCCGAAGTGTTGGCCTTTCTACTGCTGTCTCCACCAGGCAACAACCACGTGTCAGTGATTGTCGCCTTCACCGGCGATCTTATGACATTGCACCCATCGTCCCACACGGGCGTCCTCCGCCAGTTGCGACTCTGGGCGCAGGAAGTCACGACCGCGTGGATCCAACTGTTAGCGCAGCCAAGTGATTGGATTGAATCCACTGGCGGCATCGATCTCAACCAGCTCTGCCTCTCTCCTGCTGCGCCAGAGGTCATCATCCCGGAGCTTCTTCCCTTCGTGTCGCCCCAATAAACCAGCACCGGCTCTCGATTTTCAGGCTTCCGTCTGATCTCCCTACCTTCTGGCAGTCCGCTACGAACGTCCCTCTCTCTTTTCGGATCAAGGAGTTGGACGTGTCGATCCTTGACGCCGGCAAGTGGGCGGAGTGGTGGAACGCGTACGTCGCACTCAGCTTTTGTCTCCTCGAGGTGGTGTTCCATTGGGCGGAAGACGAGGTTCCCGACGACGAGGTGGAGCTCCTAATAATCCAAGCGTGGAGAACGGACACGGAAGGGGAACTGCTGGGGATTCTGTTCGGAAAAGTGCGGGACGGCCACCTGGAGCCTATCACGAGCAAAGTCCCGGTGTTCCTCGCGCAGCTCCTGGACGATCTGCCTCTAGACATCCTTTCGCTCTGTGACGAGCGGTCCACACAAGCGGCGCTCACCCGTACGCTGGTACCACACCTGTTGTGTTCCACGTGTACGGAGCTTGACGGTGACAACTGCTACTACCCCTCCTCGGGCCACTATCTGGTTATTGACGTGACCGATCTCACCTTGTGGGATCCGATCATCCGAAGGGTGGAGGTGGAAGGAGAAGCCGACCGCGAAGAGGTGGAGGAAGAGAGAGAGGAGGGGAGCGAAGAAGAGGAAGAAAACTCGGGGGCGGAATCTAACGACCCCGATTACCACGAGTCGGAGGAGGGTGAACTGGGAGAGAGTGAGTCAAACGAATTAGGCGGCCCCAACGAACGGAGTGAGGAAGATGAAGGAGCGGCATAGAAGAGGCAGGAAAGGGCAGAAGGAAAGCGGTCGGTGGAAGAGTCGGATGGACCCGTGGCGCAGCTATTTCAAGGCGATCCAACGTGCAATCCAGAGCCACCACAGGAGGAGCTCGGAGGAGATGGCCTCACCACCGCGGAGGGATCCAGAAGCAGACGCCGTAGAAGAAGTTCCTCGCCGGCTCAATCCTCTCCACCACCACGGCCCACCGTTCGCATACGTGGAGATGCGAGCGCTCGGGCTTCTTCCCCGGTCGTTATCCCGTCGTCCCGTGGATTTCCTCGCCCTCCATCAGCTCTCAGGCCCCCCCCCCATTTCCTTCTAACTGGCACCCCTTTCCCCCTTCCCTTTTTCACCAGCACTATTCCACCCGCCTCATCATCAACGTCTTCCCCCATGCCACCACTCACTCTCTCGTAACTTGTTTCCCCCTCCACGTCCTTCTCTTCAGCATCACTTGGCCCGAATATAATAATATAGAGGTGTATTGCATAATCACGGGTACCATCCCCGCCTGCGAGGATTATGACAATTTCCGCGCCGCGATTCCCCACACTCTCTGCACCCTTTATCCTGACTACCTCGCTTCGCTCCCCCACCAAGATCATCGTTTCCCTCGCATCCACCGCGCCGTCCACTACACCTGACTCCTCACTGGAGATCGGGAACTCCATTGTTTTCTGCCACCCCTCCCACAAGTTCACCCGCCTTTTCCCCCGCCCATCGTAAGGCTACCCTTCCCGACAATCTCTAGGATCGGAGTTCGTGAGTGCCACCTGGATGACTTCCACAATCTCATCTCACCGCAAGTGGCACGTGTCGGCTCCACGTCGATCACTGGTGTTTTCTCACGAGATCGACGGATGATTGGGTGAGCAAGCAGGAGCTTGCTCAAGATTGGAACCCCCTTGGCGTCACATATGTGACGAACTGTTTTCTGCAACCGCGAGATTTTTTGCGCAAGGCTACTTCGAGGGTTGAAACGAGATGGCTCGTTGGATTGCATGGGTGCCCTTGCTTTTCTTGTTTTTCGGAATCAAGGTCGAGATAGTTCCACTACGGTTAGTAGTTGATCGCGCTTCAGTGAGCGCGAAGGATAACTGTTGCCATAACTTCTTTCTTGTTCTTCAATGGGGGAAATGGGACTTTTGGCATGGTCGTCACGAGGGGAAATCTTGTTTGAATTTTTAACTAATGTCGAGCCCCCACAGACTCTCGGAATTTGCTTCGTTCGGAATTTCTTTTTGCAATTAGGATTTAGATTAGGAATTTAGGCGCATCTCAATTTCTGCTGCACGGCGGTTCTTGCTTGCACACGCTTTGCCACGTTAGGATCTGCGCTCTGGTTTTTCTACGCCTTAATCCTTGCGTGTAACTGTAATTTTTGTTTGGGCGGGCATAATTGCGCCTGTGCGAGTGTGCTTCTTCCCCTCTCCTATTGGCCTGAACGCTTGCATGACCGGATTGATGTGTGGAGTGAGGTTACGTCCCCCACGCCGCGGCCTGACCATGCAGTCGTAGGCACTTCCTTTCTTCTTCTTCCTTCCCACTTAGACACAACCCCGGGTATCGTGTGCATCGCGTGCACACATGCAGGCTATAAATTTCGCAAGCACGATTAACTCGCTCTCTAAGAATTTCGGAGTTAGCGAGGTTGGGAGGATCGACTAACGAGCAAGAGTTGGAAGGTGAGTGGAGAGTTGGGCGCTCCGACGAGCTAGTGCTAGGTATGCAGGGTTGAAGTGGGGCCGCGATGGACTGTGGCGCACGAGTGAACCTGGCTTGCATGCTCGAACTAAGCGAGGTGACAACTTTGTGTGGGTGCGAGGTGACAGACTGCCCGCATTGGATGCTGAGAAGAAAGAGAGAGAGAGAGAGAGAGAGAGAGAGAGAGAGAGAGAGAGAGAGCTGTCTCTTATACACATCTAGATGTGTATAAGAGACAGGCATGAAACGAGAGCCTCCCGTTCCATCCGGGAGACTCAACCCCTACGGCCAAAAATCCTCGGCCACGCCCCTCCTAGAACTCTGATCAGCGACCCAGTACGGGAAGCTGCGAGGGGGCGTGAGGTTGCGTATCACATGCTATCGTGTTTTCCTATGATTCAACATTACCCAAGTTGACTTGGATTACTCCTATCCACCTGATTGGATTTGAGGAAGGTGTCTTTTCTCTCCCCTACTCTTCACCACTTATTTCTGAGTGGACTCCTTATATAATGGTGATTGGCCATATGGTGCAAGTGGGAAGGTGCCTCGTATATGTTAGGAGTAGTGATTCAGTCTAATGTCTGAGTTTAGGGTTTTGATGGGCTGGGGGCTCCTGCCATGTGGTAGGGGCCGGGAGGAGCCTCATGCTCTGTAGACTAGGGTTACTGGTTGGACGGTGCCCATGGGCAGTCAATCCCCTCGCACAATGGTAATCAATGCTGTCCTTCTATGATTACGACTCAATTTTGGCTCCGGCTTTGTAAATGGGGACGCTGGACCCGGTTTCCAGCAGGTGATGCTCCCCACCAATAGATTCCAGCCATCTTCTACAGGGGTCCTATTAGTGGGGGATGCTCTTATCACCTCCACTAATAGGCCTCATTTGGATGTTAAAAATAATAATAATAATATTAATAAAAAATCGTCCAAACTCTCCACACCACCATTTGGAATAATTTGCCTAGTATCACAATACCCGTCTTACCCAACCGACCTGTAAACGAGCTTGCTCGATTTATTTTGGCATTAGGGACCCACCATAAAATCATCAACTGTAAAACCAAGCATATATCAAGCTGTAGAGCCCATGTCGCAAAGATCTGCACCTGCTGCATGCCCNGAGAGAGAGAGAGAGAGAGAGAGAGAGAGAGAGAGAGAGAGAGAGAGAGAGAGACGAGATTTATTGTGGTGATGTTTCTCTTCTATCCTTCTGAGCAATTTTGGTATTCGGTGCAAGTCGCCCTTGTCCTTTTTGGACCGACGTCTCAAATTTTTCCTTTGTTTCTTCTCAGAGACTGATGAATGGTTGTCCTCCCCCACTCCCCTTCTCTTTCGTTTTGAATCGACAAATCTAATTGGTTGGTCATCTGTGATCGAGTCTTGTGTGATCTCCGGGCTGTCGACAAAATAATTGTTGCATAAGGATCCTTGATTCCTTTTGTTGGTGTGTGTGGGGGTGAAGCTAGATGCACAAATACTTGGTGTGATTCTGTCTGTGTATGAATTAGATAAAAACATGCTAGACGATTAGATGTTTGTCTCGCTATAGGATTATCCATCTCGTGAGCCACTAACCTTCACCCCTCTGACCGAAGGACAGGTCCTATGCACACACGTGTAGGTCCGACCAAGAAAGGTCGCTACTTACACGTGTGTCTGCAAAACCTATACTCGGTCTACTTCCCGAACGTTTGAATTTCCGCCCATCCTACAGTATGAATTTCGAGATCCCTTTTCGTGTCACTGACCGCGAGTGTTTAAGAGATCGGGAATTCCGGGAATATTGGGAACAATCCTGCTTGTCAGCGCGATGAAGAGCGGAACCGCTGAATTTCCCTTACTTAACCGGGAATGAACGTGTTTGCGAGTGGGACCTCGATCAGGCCTTGGGACGTCTCCCCCATCTCCCCAACTGCCCTACCCCATACACGTGTGACGTCATCGTGGAACCCGGAATTCTTATCTCGGGGACCGAATTCCCTCCCTATCACCACATCTTACCCTATCACTCCCTAACCATCGTCCCCTGGCACGCATTCGCTCCTTACTGGCCTCAACCCCCATGTTCGGAGTGTCTGTACTGAGCCTCCGGCTTCATCCGGTGAACTCGCTCGGAGGAAGAACGATGGGTGCACAGCCTTCGATTGAGGCCAGCCGCGTCAGATCCTGAGACTTGTGAGGTTTGGCATCGGCAAGTGACCAGCCAGCGGGATAACCATAGCGTCCCGACGGTGCACCAGGTACGACTCCAGCCCGGACGACGGAACCAACAGAGGCGGTAGCTCTGTTTCCCGAAGCACAAAACAGGACTCCAATATGCGCCTACCTTCCTGCAATCGTATCCCTTAACTTGCCACATGAGATCTCAGTTTTGACCTGGGACTCCACCCCCACTTTCCTAAAATCCTTGGCACACCCCCTTTCGCACTTCCAGGCCCACTCACACTCCGACCAGGAAACTGCTGAACGATCGCTCTGATTTCCCTGGTGGATGAAACATGCAAGGAATATACTCTGTCCTTCGCGAGTTGGATCCGTGAATGCTCTCCGTACACAATTAATTATTGCCTTCTCGTCTCATTGTTCTCTTCCCCCTATCGATCTCTCGTTGCTAACGTTTGATGTTGTTTGTGGTTGTTTTCTGCAAGGGGATTATCTGGGGCACGATACTGCGGCATGTGAGGATGATTTGGGGTTCTTTCGATCCACGCTAATAGGGCTTGTGTGCACTCCTCTCGACCATAATATGGAGGATACCTTCGTGTGTTGTCCATTGATCTATGAAGCCAGGATAAGGAAGTTTTTTTTTGGAATCCTGCCTTTGTCTCATGTGGTGAGGAAGAGGAAAAAGTTATCGATCACTGTCGAACTGAATATCTGGGAGATGGGTTGCAACAGGTTGGGCCATAAAAAAAAAATGGGAGTATTGGAAAGGCGTACAGTCTTCCGAAGCACAAAGACGTCTCCCGTTGGAGACCGATATGTCCATCATATTCTGAGTGTTCTGTGGCGGAAGCAAGGGTTGTGTCTGAGGCTGTAAATGCTTTGCTATGGAATCTTTCGTCTCATTCTCATCTCAATCGTCGTAGTGCGGACGGGTTGTTGATGCGTATTAAAGAAGTTAATAAAGGACTGGCGAAGAGGCATATGATTGTGGGAGCATCGTTCGATATCAAGGAAATGTTCTCGAATCTCCCACACGTTTCTATCTTATGGGCCTTACGGTGGGCCATTGACTTTTGGCAGGATCAGAGGGCATTGGCTGTTGCCCTGCGTAAACAAGGAAAGGGAGCTAAGCGTCTTAAACGGTCTCTTGATATTGGCTGGAAGAAGGTCTCCTTCTCCAATATTTTTGAATTTTT